GCATTCAAAATGGGAAAACAAAGAAGCAGAAACCATACGAGAGAAGAGAACAGAGATCCAGGAATAATGGAGTCAAGCAATCTAACAGATGCAGAGTTTGAAACACTGCTTATAAAGATGCTCAATGAAATTAGGAGCAGTGTAGATATATTCAGTTAGAATTTCAACAAAGAGATTAAAAAAAAACCCATAAAAATGGAAATAGAAGTTATAAAAAGGAACCAGTCTGAAATGGAGAATACATTATCTGAGATGAGAAGTATACTAAATGGAATAAACAAAGGAATAAACGAAGTGAATTTAAAAAAAAGATCAAATACCCTATAGGACAAGAAAAGAATTTTTAAAAAGATCAAATACCCTATAGGACGAGAAAGCCAATGACAGTCAATCAGAATGACAAGAAAAAAAAAAGATGCCAAGACTATAAAAATAATTTAAGGAGCATATGGGACACTATTAAGGGTCCAAATATCTGTCTGATCGGCATACCTGAAGAAAACCAAGATGTCGAACAGCTGTTTGAAGAAATAATGATGGAAAACTTCCCTAACCTGGTAAAGGAAATAGACTAAACCCCCAGGAAGCTCAGAGAATCCCAAAAACCAGGGCTCCAGGGAGGCCCACACCAAGACACATCACAATTAAAATGCCAAAGTTTAAATTCAAAGAAAGTATATTAAAAGCACCAAGAGAAAAACAGATAGTTACCTATAAGGGAACACCCATAAGACTGGCAGCTGATTTCTCAAAAGAAACTATGTAGGACAGAAAGGCTGGGCACAAAGTATTCGACGTAATGAAGACCGAGGAGCTACAACCAAGAATAATTTATCCAGCAAAGCTATCACTTAGAGTTGAAGGACAGATAAAGGGCTTCTCAGACAAAAATAAGCTAAAGGAATTCATCAACACCAAGGCACTATTACAGAAAATGTTGGAGGGACTTCTTTGAAGAAAAAACATGTATTAAAATCACAAATAAGAAATGTTAATAACTACATATCTATCAATGACTACTTCAAATAGAAAAGAGTTAAGTGCTCCAACCAAAAGATAGAGTAGCTGGATGGATAAGAAAT